TGTTTCTAGCACCCACTTTTTGTTTGATGTTCAGGCAGTGTTTCTTGTAGGTCAGAGCACGGTCCAGAGTGATTCCCAGGTATTTGGGTGTGCTGCAATGATCCAATGGGATTCCTTCCCAGGTGATCCTCAGAGTTCGAGATGCTTGTCTGTTCTTAAGGTGAAAGGCACATGTCTGTGTTTTAGATGGATTAGGGATCAGCTGGTTTTCCCTGTAATAGGCAGTAAGAGCACCTAGAGCTTCGGAGAGCTTTTGTTCAACCAAGCTCATTGACAAGCTGAAACGTGTCCAGAGGAGAGCGACTAAAATGATCAAAGGTCTGAAGACTATGAATCCCTATGCAGAGTGGCTACAAGAGCCTGTAGAAGAGAAGGTTGAGAGGAAACATGATAGCCATATATAAATATGTGAAAGGATGTCATAAGGAAGAGGGAGCAGGCTTGTTTTCTGCTGCCCTGGAAACTAGGTTTAAATTACAGGAAAGGAGATTCCATCTAACATTAGGAAGAATTTTCTGACCATTACAGCTGTTTAGCAGTGGAACTCTATCTCAGAATTTAGTAGAAGCTCCTTTCTTGGAGGCTTTTAAACAGAGGCAAGATGGCCATCGGTTGGGAGTGCTTTGATTGTGCTTTTCCTGCATGGCAGGAGGTTAGACTAGATGGCCCATGTGGTCTTTTTGAACTCTATTATTCTATGATTCTATCTTACCTGAGTAAGCATCATGGTCCCGGTCCAGTGTGCTAAACTGTCGGCCATTGTGCCAAGAGAGGGAGTCGCCAGCAGTGCCCCGGTAGCGCCCTAGCCGCAACCGATAAAAATCGCTCTCAGGCTCCAAGGCGAAGGTGTCATATTCAGCATGTGCCTGTCGCCCGCTCCAGTCTTCCATCCATATCCGTAGCAGGTAGGTGCCCTGGCGGGTGAGCCAGTAGATAGAGTCCAGACCCAGCCAGTGTTCTCCTTCCAGGTTCCCAAAACCATTCTGGGAAGACACAGCAGGCAAGAGATTTACTAAAATGGAACTAGGATGAGAAACATGACCTTATGGGTGTGGCTAAACTATAATATGCATCAGACTCTTAGTGAAGAGTGTGGCATTTGTATTTAATAACATGGTGGGATGGAGAGGATTCACATATCCCACATTCCTGCTCTGCATTCACAGCTGAACAGAGCATGGAATCTGGCTGTGCAGCTGGTAGAGCTATTATCTATGGCAGGGGTCCTCAAACTAAGGCCCGAGGGCCAGATACAACCCTCCAAGGTCATTTACTCGGCCCTTGCTCAGGGTCAACCTAAGTCTGAAATGACTTGAAAGCACACAACAACAACAACAATCCTATCTCATCAGCCAAAAGCAGATCCACACTTCCCATTGAAATACTAATAAGTTTATATTTGTTAAAATTGTTCTTCATTTTAATTGTTTTAAGTGTTTTTTGCACTACAGATAAGATATGTGTAGTGTGCATAGGAATTCATTCATTTTTTTTTCAAATTATAATCCGGCCCTCCAACAGTTTGAGGGACTGTGACCTGGCCCTCTGTTTAAAAAGTTTGAGGACCCCTGGTCTATGGAATAATTTCACAGCAGAAAATCATTACAGCGCATTTGTGCGTACACGAATATATACCATACATGCTCACTAGGCTTGGGCGATCCAGTTTGTTAATTTCGTTATTTGTTATTGATTGGTATTTAAATTAGCTTATGATCCAATATCGAGCCATGCAGGAATAGTGTG